CGGCCTCGGGCTGCGAAGGGAAGGACGTGGTGGAGCTGCTGCGAGAGGCCGTGCGGCGCAAAAACGTACGGGGCCGGGCACTCTCCTGGGGGGCTGGGCAGGGGTTTGGCGCTGTGCCCACGTCCGCTGGGAGCGGGTGGGCGCTGGGCTGGGCCACCGCCAGGTTCCCTGGAGGAAGAAGTGATTTCCCAGGAGACGTCGGTGGGCCTGGCGACGGTTGCTGTGGTGATGGGGAATTGTGTTGCCTAGTAACCCCGCGCTTTCTTCCCAGCAATTTGATCTGGATGTGGTTGCCATAGTGAACGACACCGTGGGAACCATGATGTCGTGTGGCTACGACGACCCCAACTGCGAGGTCGGCCTCATCGTGGGTAAGGAGCAGGGCTGGGGAGGGGGCTCCGGCATGGTCCAGCCCACGGTGCGCGGTGCTGGGGTGGGGCCGGGCACAGCAAAGCCCAGCTTGTCCGGTCCAGCCCTACCCCTCGCGCAGGACCTGCCGTGGCCTTGGCTGGAGTCGTCGGTCTGAGCCGGGGTCAAACCCCTCCTGCCCCCGCGCAGTGTCAGGCTGAGCCTGAGCGCAGGGGCAAGACCCTCCAGCTTGGGCCCTGCGGGGTTGCCAGCAGGAGCACTGGCAGAGCCCAGAGCCCACCCCCAGCCTGGGCTGCAGCAGCACCTGATGCTATTGAAGGAGGCAAAAAACTCACCCCCAAGACACAGCAACAGGAAGGGAAACATTCCTGCCCGGCTTCCAGCGAAGCCCAGAAGCCTGGACCCAGCAGGGCCCTCTGCTCCGCTCTGCAGCCTGGGAGCAGCAGCCAGCTGCATGCATCCCCCTTCCGCCCCCCAGCACCGCTGCCCTGTCTGGAGCCCCCTGCACGCACGCAGCCTGACCCCTCCGAGCCTGCCATAGCCCAGCCCTGCTGGGCTCGCTCCCCTCCAGCCCCAGCCATGATCTCCCAGCCGTGGGAGACCTCGGCTCCCTCCTGCTCCTCCCCTTGCACTCTAGGCCTGGCCGGCCCACACCAGGGTCCTGTGGCTGGGCAGGCGCCTGACCCCGTGGTGCCCCCCAGGCACAGGGACCAATGCCTGCTACATGGAGGAGCTGTGCAACGTGGAGGCGGTGCCGGGGGCCGAGGGCCGGATGTGCATCAACATGGAGTGGGGGGCGTTCGGCGACAACGGCTGCCTGGACGAGTTCTTCACGCGCTTTGATGCCCAAGTGGACCGGGCGTCTCTCAACCCCGGGCAGCAACGGTGAGTGGGGCAGGGCTGGCGGACAGGGGAGCGGGGCTGGGAGCCAGGACGAGGGGCTCTGGCCAGCCCCCGTGCCTGCCCCGATGCCGCGTACCACCCCCGCCGGCAGGTTTGAGAAGCTGATCAGTGGCATGTACTTGGGCGAGATCGTGCGGATGGTGCTGGTGGAGCTCGTGGAGAAGCGACTGCTGTTCCAGGGCCGCCCATGCCCGGCGCTGCAGACCCCGGGCATCTTCCCCACCAAGTTCCTGTCCACCATTGAGAGGTGGGTGCGGGCTGGGTTGGGCTCTGGCCTCCTGCTGCCAGCCCAGGGCAGTGGGCGTGGGATGCTGCAACCGTGCTAACCAGCCCCTGGGTCCTCCCGCAGTGACGGGCTGGCCCTGCGGCAGGTGAGCGCCGTGCTGCGGAACTTGGGGCTGGCGGCGAGCGTGGAGGACGCGCTGCTGGTGCGGAAGGTGTGCCAGGTCGTGTCCCTGCGTGCCGGCCAGCTCTGCGGAGCCGCCCTGGCCGCCGTGGCGGAGAAGATCCGGGACAACCGTGGCCTGGCCCAGCTGGCCGTGACTGTGGGCGTGGACGGGACCCTCTACAAGCTGCACCCACAGTGAGTGGGGCTGGAGGCAGAGCGGGGTGGGGAGGGGGCCGCACCCCTCGGCAGAGACTCACCCCTCTCTCCCCCGCAGCTTCTCGCAGCACGTGCAGCAGACGGTGAAGGAGCTGGCGCCACGCTGCACCGTCACCTTCCTGCAGTCGGAAGACGGGTCCGGGAAGGGCGCCGCGCTGGTCGCTGCTGTCGCCTGCCGCGTGGCCCAGAGCCGCGCAGCACCAGCACCTGGCCAGTAGCCCCCGGGCAGCCTGCGTGTGCACGGCAGCAAGGACTGGGCAGTGGGACAGTGGGGGGGCGGGTGGGAGGCTCTGGGACGCCCCACAGTGGGCCAGCACTAAATTTGAAGCCTCCTGCTGAGAGTCTCCAGGACCCAGTCCCTGCCAGCGCTGGGTGCTTCTGCGGGGCGGCGGGGCTCCACCTCCCTCCAAGGGACCCAGGCAAGGCTGGCACGCCAAGATAGCAATATATATCCAATTTATTTACAGTCCTGTCCGGCAGCGCCCCGGCCCGCCCCTGCCCCTGCCCCTCCCTGCAGCGCTATGTACATAAGGCCAAGTGTAAATACTTGAATGCACTTGAATACAGAATTAAAAAACGGTCTTTACATGACACGGCTGGGGCCCGCGGCGCCCAGGCCACACGGACACAGCACGCACGGCACCGCACGCACGACGCACCACGCCGCGGCACACACCGGCCCCGGCCCCACTGCCCCTCACTGCTTCTGAGCCCTGCTGCCGCCGGGGAGACTTGGGGTGCTGGGCTTGGGCTCCAGGGGCCCCAGGGCTGGGGCAGGGCAGGAAGGGCCCAGATGGGGACGGAGCTAGTGGGGTTGGGGCAGCCCCCTCCCCGCCCTGCCCCGGCGGGCGCGTGTGTGCCGGGCCGACCCGCACACCGGGGAAGGGGCTGTACAGTGCCCGCCTGCCCGCACTCAGCACTCGGCCTCCGACACGGCAAAGAGGCTGCTGTCCTGCTTGCCCACCTCGGCCACAGCGGCTGCCAGCTGCGCCAGGTTGCCGCTGGGGAAGTGCCGCGCCTCCCACAGGTTCAGGATCATGGCCGTGGGGCTGGGCTTCAAGGCGAAGAAGCTGAGATGGCTGCGGAGAGAGCGGGGTCAGCGGGGCTGGGGCCGACCCGCCGGGGTGTTGGATGCAGCCAGCTCCTCCCTGGGGCTGTGTCCAGGGTCCCGTCCTCGTGGAGGGCTGCAGGAACCCCCACCCCAGGGTGCAGGGCTGGGCAGGGCGGGGGTCCCTGGGCTGGCAGTCCCCGCTGCCTCCTACCTGTTTAGGTTGAGTTTCTGGGCCAGGGTCCGCCAGTCGGCTCCGCGGGCGCAGGGTGCATCCAGGCTGCTGATGATCTTCTGGCGGATGAGGAAGGGGATCTTGAAGGCACTGGGACCCACCAGGGCTGCGGGGCCGGCCTCGCCGTCAGGTGCCAGCCAGTCTGAGAACCTTGTGTCCTGCAAGAGATGGCGCCGGCGGGATTACGGGGGGCTGCACACAGGTCCTGTGGGGCAGCAGAGCTGCTCTGGGTGCCAGCCGAGCACAGCCAAAGCCTGCCAGGCTGTGCCCGGAGTCAGCCAGGTCCCAGGGCTCCCAGTGCCCGGAGCAGGCCGTGCCAGGGCGTGGGCAGGGGCCTGCCCAATGGCATCAGCACCGAGCATGGGGCACGGACCCTCTTTGCCACCAGCACCAGGGGCCTTCAGAGCCCTCTCCTCAGCCAGAACCGCCCCGGGGCCGCCTTGTCGCAGGAGCCCCAGAGCGGGGGGCTGGCAGGGAGCAGCAGAGGTGGTGTCTAGTTCAGCCCTGTGCAACCCAGCCTGGACCAACCCACACCTAAACTCTGTGTAAAACTGGTGTCAGTCCTGGCACAGGCCGGACCTTACACCCGGACCTGCCACAGGTCCCGCCGCTGCGAAGGATGTTGTTATGCACCGCAGAGCCCAGGCTGAGGCCGTGTCCCCACTGCGGAGGAAGGCAAACCCCCCCTAGTCTGGGGTAAAAACTCCTTCCTGACCCCCAGTGTGGTGTCAGTCTGAGCCTGAGCACAGGGACAAGGCCTTCCAGCCGGGACCCTGCGGGGTTGGTGCCAGCAGCAGCGTTGGCACAGCATGTGCCCATGCCTCTGGGGGAGGCTTAAGAACACCCTGAGGCATAGAGCAGAAAGGGGGCAACCAGCACAGTCCAGAAACCTGGGAATCCCCACGCTAGAAAATGGGCATCGCTGTGCCTGGATCATCCCAGTGCCTGCCCAGCCTCTCCTCGAACAGCTCCAGTGTGGACAGTCCCCCCGTCCCTGCATCTCTGCCCCGTCTCCCTGCTCTGACAGCAAAGAAGTGTTTCCTGAGATCCAACCTAAACCTCCCTGGCTGCAACTTCAAGCCATGTGTCCACGTCCTCCTCTGCAGCGAGAGAGCAGGCGCTTCCCTCAGAGTGACAGACAATGCGGGTTGAAGGGCCCCTGGGAGGTCACATCTAGTCCGACCCCTGCTCAACGCAGGCCCAGGCCCAGCTACGTCATCCCAGCCATGGCTTTGTCTACCTGGGTCTTCAAAACCTCCAAGGATGGAGACTGCACCCCCTCTCTGGGGAGCCTGTCCCAGTGCTTCACCACCCTCCTCATGAGAGAGTTTTTCCTAATATCCAACCTCAACTTCCCTTGCTGCAACATGAGCCCATTGCTCCTTGTCCTGTCACCTGCCCCCACTGAGAACAGCCCAGCTCCATCCTCTTTGCAGCCCCGCTGCAGGGAGGTGAAGGCTGCTATTCAATCCCCCTCGGTCTTCTCTTCTGCAGACTCAATCAGCCCAGTTCCCTCAGCCTCTCCTCACCAGTCCTGTCCCCCAGCCCCACAACCATTTCCGTTCCCCTCCACTGGACTCTCTCCAATGTGAGAGAGAGTCTGGCCCCGGCCCCATGCTGTAGTGGGGGCCACAGCTGGACACTGGACTCCAGATGTGGCCTCCCCAGTGCTGAATAGAGGGGAAGGATCACCTCCCTCCATCTGCCGGCAATGGTCCTGCGCCAATGCAGCCCGGGATGCCGGTCGCCTTCTTGGCACCAAGGGCACACTGCTGGCTCCTGTTCAGCTTCTTGTCCCCTGTCCCCCCAGGTCCTTTTCTGCAGAGCTGCTGCCCAGCCCGTCGCCCCAGCCTGCCCCGGTGCAGGGGATTGCTCCCTCCTCAGTGCAGGACTTTGCCCGTGTCCTTGTTGAACCGCATGAGATTTCTTTTGTCCCAATCCTCCAGTTTGTGGAGGTTCCTCTGAATCCTAGCCCTACCCGACAGCATATCTACTACTCCCCCCAGCTTGGTGTCATCGTCAGACTTGCTGAGAGTACGTTCTGCCATCTTCCAGGTCGTTGATGAAGACACTGAACAAAACCGGCCCCCAGGACCGACCCCAGGGCACGCCACTTGGTACCAGCTGCCAACTAGACATTGAGCCATCGATTACTACCCTGTGAGCCCGATGCTTCAGCCAGTTTTCTATCCACCTTGCAGTCCATTCATCCAGCATGGATGTCCCTAGCTCTTCTTCCTGGCAGCACTTTGGGTACTGCCCTCGCCCCTCCCCCAGCTCCCTGCCCGGCTGCCCGCCCCGCACCTTGGCAATGTTGAGGTTGATGGTGAAGCTCTGCCCGTCGCCTTCCACCTGCCAGATCCAGATCTTGCAGGCCAGCTCGCAGGTGCTGGGGCTGAGGCGCTCCAGCGTGAAGGTGCAGTGCAGGTAGGGCTGCAGCCCGCTCCAGATGTGGTAGAAGGGGATCTCCTGCGTGCATGGGAAGCGCTGCAGTGACCGCTGTTGGAGGGCACCGCTGGCCCCGGGCATGCACCTCCCAGCCCCATCCCCACAGGCCACGATGCCCCTCAGGGCCGAGCCCCACCGCAGGGACCCAGGGAAACAAGCCCGGGGGGGGCTGCCC